GATGTAGCTTCCATACTTATTAACGGAGAGGTCAACGAAATGGCCACGTAGATTATACGTGCAACGCAAGTCATTCAGTTTTATATCACGTGTTGGACCACAAAGTTACCGTAGACATCGTTGCTAAGGCATAAAGCGTTTCGCGCGACCAAGCCTAGTAGCTGGTTCCTGTAGAAAGAATCGTCCACGTCGGTTATGACCTCGTTGAGGACGACGCAGCCGTGTTTGTCACGCGCTAAATCGAGCGCGTGTGTTCGTACATGGCTTTTTTCTTCTCTGAGTCGAAAACCTCCATGGCTCGCACCGCCACGTGTGACGCGCATCTATCGGTCATGATCTTGAAGAAACTGCGCAAGATAGCGGCGCACAATAACGAGTCCACGTCATCTGATTTTCCGAAGAGCGTTTGCACGCGTACCGACCCGTTCTTGTTTCCGACGATCGCCGTGAAGTAATCGGAGTCTGACGTCAGCAGCGACGCCATCGCTAGAATCTGTCTGTTGTGTAACTTCGAGATCATCGATTTGAACTGCCCTCCATCTTCGCCGGTAGTCATCTGATTGAAGAGAGAGTTCAAGCGCGTGAATGGTACAACGGAGGCGGCGCGTGGGGTGAATCCCGGCGGAGGAATGGAGCCGGAGATTCCTTTTGGGTAGTTATTGGTTTCTTGATTATCGACGATCGCCATTGTAAAGAGATTAATTTTGGAGAAAAATAAATGGATAGTAATTTGGGTTATTTTGGAAAAATGTGACAGGTTTTCAGATTATTTGCTTCTTCGAAAAAGGATATTTATCGAAGAATGAAACAAATGAGGGTTTAAAAAACTGACATGTTTTAAAAGTTCAGGGATCTATTGGAAAAACAAAACACTTTTTTTGTTTTTTTTGAAAATAGTTGGAAGAAAGATTCGGTTTAATTGCATACCGATTTAGCTTTTGATTTTGTACACGTAACCAATCACATGGGGTACACGTAGACCAAATCTGCCACGTCATCA